TGGTAGATGCACACTTTATTGTCTATCCTGGTTGACAGGTTACAGTAAAAGACTTGTAAATCCCAAATAGCACATGTTGCTTTATGGTATATTTAACTCTAAATGGTGGGGATTCACAAAATGAACTTGAGCTGTATTGATGAGGACTTGTGACTCGAAATTGAGGCCATGCACTAAGTTTTGGAAATGTTTGCTGAGCTTATAATCACTATAATCAGTATATATAGAGGGTCACTTTTCATTTATTATACTACGACTTTTTGCAACTCCCGGTAGTGGTGCTACATGCACTTCTATTAGTCGATATGTGTGTCCTTCATAAAATAACAATCACAATAGATCACAATGCAACGGTGCAATTTACAATTTACAATATATGTTGCATTCATATGCAGCATGTCACTCCTCTTCAACTACATGAATCCCCCCGCCCCACACATACACAAACACACCACACATACACACACAATCCCACATTCGATAAGGATTCATCCTCATCCAAACAGCCATCCTCATGGGAGCCTATTGTCCAGTGGTGACTGACATCAGTCAGCCACCATGAGGGACCCTCCACCGCTGTCTGCCTGCTGTTTTCATTACAAAGCCATCACCTCCAGCACACACACGCACGCACGCACGCACGCACGCACGCACGCACGCACGCACACACACACGCACGCACACACACACACACATATCCCACACATACACACCCCAACTCTGACAGATTCCCCCTCAGTCCTGACTACCCATGATCCTCTCTGTTGAAACCCCTCTTTCAAACATCCATTCAATCCAACTTTGCGGTCAGATATCACCAACAGTGGTCTTCCTCTCTCCCGTCTGTTTCTATCTCCTCCTCATCCTCAAACCCCACCCCCCACCCCCCTTTTATGCTCTGCGCCCCCCATAGGGTTTAACCCTTTCCTCCCGCTTCATCAGCGGTGCTGTTGTTTGAGGGCTGCTGCTCTGCTACGACCGCCCCAGGCTCCAAAACCACCACACCGCTTCCTCACCACAACCTCACAGCGGATTCACACTGCAGAGCATGCTGGGAGCTTTTCATAATCCCACAAACACACCAAGAACTCCCACAAACTCACACTGTCACTCAAAGTAACCAGCACATCTGCCAGCTGCCAGAGGGAAACGAAAAGGGACGCAATACCTCTCTGACACACACAAACACACACACACACAAGTAGAAGCAGCAGATTGCATCCAAGGTGATAGATAGAGCACTGTGGGTAGAAACTGTGCCCGTTCAATTACAATCATTACTATCACTTCGGGAGATTTGTCATGGTCAAAGTGAGTCGCAGCTGTGGAGAAAGCACCTTGAAGACTGTGAAGTTGTGCTACTTTCAGTTTTCGCATAAGGGCTACGACATCCTCAAAATTCTCTCCCAAATCAAAAAAATGACTAAAATTAAACGTAAATTAATTACTAAGAATTTGAAACAGATGTTTAAAAAATAATCTCTCTACAGTACATGAGTGACTCTTCAAAAGCACTTGGCACATTCAGAACAATAATCCAGTAACCCACAACCTGTCAGCTACGTTAAAGCCATGAGAACGGTGTGTTTGAAAGAGGCAGCTGTGCCTTTCACCGTGTTCTGTGGGTGGGTTGTGGGGAGGGGGGGGGGGAGGCCACATGGCAGAGAGAACTGTCAGTCAAAGAAGGACCTGTTATGAAGAATTAGAGAGAGTCTGGATGGTGTGACGGTGACACACAGGAGACCGAGGCCGTGCCGTCACTGATTGACTGACAGGTAGAGGGAACAATGGAAGTCAAAAATCGCACACAGCTGTGGAGCTCCTACATGAGACCCCCACTGCTGAGACCAGCTGGTGCCCGTTTTTTACAAAATGATCACCGTGTGAGGGACAAGGCAAAGAGGACAATCAACTTCTACACCTCTTCTCACAGGACAAAGATGTGTGTTTGTCTTACTGACATGTTCATTGAACTTGAAACATACCATTACCGCACTATTCACATGTATTTAGTGCCTGATCTCTATCTGTGCTGCATTGGTGATAATGAGTTAAAAAGATTGTATGTCTTAGTTAATTTAATCACTATATTAATAATGTTAATCAAAAAAGCAGCTAATCAATATCAATAATTCAACTCTATCAAATTGTAATTGTTGTTCAAATGAAAAAGTTAATGTAAGGAGTCCCGCTTTTTAAAGATCCCTTACATTTGTGCTTTTATGTAATCAAGCTACACATTTTACAGTGTGCAACTTTTCAAATATCAGTGGTGGAAAAGCAATGCAATGGAGACATTGTTTCTGAATTATCTCTAGCTGATGTGGTAGTATAGTATAGCTCTATGCTAACAGCAGCTTATTATCACACTAGGGGATCTAATTAGTTTACCTCATATTTCAGTACCAATAAGTGAGATTTAGACCTTTAAAAAGACACTAAAAGGGATATTTTGACCATGAAAGAAGTCGGTGGATACTTAGGGCATTCCCATCTAAATGGTTTTCAGCCACCACACAATGTTAACAAGAAATCACATGTTTTCATTGGCCTGTCAGTGACACCTGATCTTTACCTCTTTTCATTTCTCCAAGGGTTGTGACCTCTGTCCAGCTGTGGTTTGTGGTTGAGACAAGAAACAGATACACAACCACTCACCACCATTGATCTTACATCTCCCTGTTTTCCATTACAATCATGGATCTCCTATTCTTTCTCCTGGACCTGATTCCATCTGGATGAGTGAAGGCTTAATGTCCGCTGCGTCTGCGGGACACCTTTTCATGTCCTCTGGCTTAATACAGCCAGAAACTGCCTGAGATGAAAAGCTGTCCAGGACGCTCTTCTACTCCTCCTGCTCTCTGTCAGGAAGTATCCATTCATCACAGTCAATCTGTTAATGCCTGTGTGTGTGTGTGTGTGTGTGTGTGTGTGTGTGTGTGTGGAGGTGATCTGTTGTTGCGCTGCTGTCACCTCACCAGTGCATGCTTGATCCCTTCTTATTCATCTATCATATCAATCTTTTCACACATCATCATTATCAGCTTGCAAGAGAACACAGATGTACAAGATTCCCATTGTCTCGAGTTCATCCTATTACTTACACTCAAAGGCTTACACGCAGGTCATTTCAAATATAGGGGCGTCTGTTTCTCCTTCACATACACACAAACGTGCACATACTATCTCCTTCCCTCACCTCATCTCTAACAAATATTTTTTCTGTCTCTCCACTGTTCATTTCTCTTGCCTCCATCCCTTGCTCTGCTCACTGCCGCACCGCTGCCTCCCTGCCTGGCCGTGTCCTCATGCACAATCACAAATGCACACAATCCATTCCCCCTCCATTCCCAGGCAGTCATCCTGAACAGCCCTCTGTGGGGGTAAGTAGATAGGAGGCTGTTGAGACATGCTGAGCCCAACGGCCCTCTGAGGATACTGGATGTCCCACAGCTGGGAGGAAGAGAGTAGAAGAGAAAGGGTCCAGATGAGAGTGAGCCTTGGGGGAGGAGTAATTGCCAAGTGTGTGTGAATTTGAGTGTGTGGCGGGGATCACTGAAAAGTGCACAGGGAGAAAAGGAGGGGGGGGGGGGGTGTGATGAGATGGAAAAGGGTGACAAAGACAGAGGAGAAGTCATCTACTGCAGACAGGGGGGAAAAGCAGCAAAGGAAGACGTCAGTGCAACCCCTCTTACAGGTGTGTGTGTGTGTGTGTGTGTGTGTGTGTGTGTGTGTGTGTGTGTGTGTGTGTGTGTGACAGGGGGTCAGGTTGGAGAGAGTAATCTCCCCAGGATTAAGAGTGCTGCTCCTGTGTTAATGTGACTGTCAATGAGAATTAAGTCCCTGGACCGATCCTCCTCAGCCCTCTCTGCTCTCTCCACCTCTACCTCTCTCTCTCTCTCTCTCTCTCTCTCTCTCTCTCTCCTGTCCGCCCTGTCTGTCACAGTAATGACACCACTTGCCAATGCCACGTGCGTTAAAAACAATGGGCAAATAATTACACTCTTTCAATACAGTACAAATTGCAGACCTGGGCAGCGGGACAGCAAGAGGTAAAAAAAAAAAAAAAAAAAAGAAAGAGGAGAGGGAGGGATGGGGAGGAGGAGATGGGAGAGGGAGGAGTGGAGACAAGGATGACTAACAATTACAACACGATAGGGGTTGGGTCTCATTACTTCGCCCATTAACATGCAGCAAGTAATTTTCCCCTCTCAGTTGGATGTGTGTGCGCAAGAGAGCGAGGGTAGGGGAGGCGTGTGTGTCTGCGCGTGCTGAGTGTGTGTCCAATAGAGTCTGCTACACACCTCCCTGCCTCCGTGCGCAATCCGCCCGGAGAACCCGGCGGCACCTCATTTCTTTCCCATACGTCCGAGACCCGCGTGCTCCCCTTCTCTATTCCACCGCCGATCACGATCCATTGCAAAGCGATTAGCAGACGCGTGAAAAGAGCCTCGGTCAGCGGATCAGCCTCGCAAGATCACTCAATATAGGTACTAAGCAGCGACGAGCTCCAACCGATCGCTTATTTAACCTGACAGTGGCGAAAACACTGCATCAATCTCACCTCAATTTCCCGCGCCCCTCGCCGACAGTACGCGCTTACACACGGTCAGCGGAATCGGCTCGTCATGCGATGTGTGCCATTTTTTTTGCGAAAAGGTAGCAATCACGCGTAAAGGAAGAGAGGGTTCACTGTGAAAATCAAAGAGGTTTTCGGAAATTCAGCCTCTTGGTGCCTCATTGGAATAGGTTGCAGCGCTCTGAGCCAGAAACATCAAAGTTGTTTTAAGCTCGTGAGTCAGTGAACCAGTCACCTCCCCCCCTGTCTCCCTGCTGCCCACATCTCTCCAGCCAAGACCCCCTCTGACCCCATCCTTGTTTCATTAGCCCATTGACCGTGCGCCATGGAAACACATGCGGAATTAAAATGTGAAGCTATACTTATTGAATGTGAATTAAAAAAAAACAAAAAAAACACACACACACACACACAACCTTACCCGAATCTATAACCACGATGGCATGATCACAGGATATTGTAAAGGATCCAGGCGAGATAGTGGAGCGCTTTGCCACTTTCTGCTCCCTCTCTTCTGATTTTGTTTCAACTCACTCCTTCTTCGCCCCTTGTCCAGTTCCCAGAGTCCACGTTCAAGTATACTGACGCGGGGCCGAAGAGGACTACTGCCGAGACAGAGTACCAGCCCTCCGGACCCGGCTCAGAAAACACATCTTGCGCAATAGCGATGTGGTCCAACCTTCCATGATCTCACCACGTCTCATCTCTGAGCCCTACACACAGAGGAGAAAGTCATAAAAAAGTGCGTAATTCCCCCAAAGAGACACCGGGCTGATGTTGTTTTTTTTTTTGTTTTTTTTGGTGAACACTCCACTCAAGTTTATCCCCTTTCGTGCGCCACAGTCACATAGAGGCGTAATAGTCGCCGGAGAGGTGCTGATGAGAGTGATGGTGTACTGATGCAGGAGTGATAGTTGTGCGCTCCCGTCGCTCCTCCCGAGCAGGGATCGATTGGACATGAGAAATGCGATGTGAGCCAGTCTTCCCAATTCAGAACACGTGCAGCAGCGCCCGCCCAGTTCACCGGCTCCAAAGTACACCCCCCCCCCCTTTTTTTCCTCACTGATGTCATGCAGTTTACAAGTATCCTGGACGACTGAGGTGAAGGTAGGGAAGAGGGGGGAGAGAGATGGAAAACATTCTACACTGAAAAGAGTCAATTTCAACAATTCTCATTGTGCCATTTTTCGTCCTGGTGAATTACTTGATATTTGCACTTTTTAACTCTTTCTTCAATCATTTTTCAAAGTTTTTTTTTAACATAGAAGTAAAAGGAAATACATGAACAGAAACACATACCGTGTGGTTATACATGTTGCATAGGGGATTTATTAATTACATTTTTCATGGAGAGATAAAGTTTCATACAGGACAGATAAGAGTGGATTTGGTGCAAACCTTGTCAGACACTGATTAAGATTGTCATAAATCTTTCATGGGAAGTATTCCTAAAATAGGATTAAATTTTATTCATAGTTTGCCCATATGCAAAAAGGCTGGAAGCAATTTGTCCCTCTTCAATTTTCAATTCATTGTTTGCGTCAGACTTTAGCCGATGTGTGTGTGCGCGCGCTCGTGCGTTTGTGTTTGTGTGTGTGTGTCTGTGTGTGTGTGTGTGTGTGTGTGTGTGTGTGTGTGTTTTGAGTTAAGAAAGGGGTCTGAAGTCTGATATGGTTTCCGAGTGGCAGGCATTGTGTTTGCTGCCTGTGCATAAGTCGATGACCCCTCCTCATCACTTAATATCCCACCTCACCTCAACACTTGTATCATGTTACAGATCCTGTCTGAATATCGATACTTTATGCTGTACACCGAATGGTGTAAATCTAGACCCCGCTAACCACCAACACCATCCTAACCCCCCACCAAGATGTTAAACAGAATTTAATCACCACCGCCTCTCCGTTACGCACCAGGAGACAGCCTATCAATTAGTATATCCCTAGAATATTCTAGTGTGTTGATGGCGATTGATTGCTTTGCGCTGTACATTCAGTCGTTAAGGCTTAGAGGAGGTCGATGTCTGCTAACGATCCAAGGAGAAGGGGATCAGATACATTCAGACGTCTTCATTGTTTTCACCCTGGGCCGTACGGCGACCCAAGTGTCACAGGAGGCCTTCTTATAGGGAGTAGTGTCAAGACACGTGTATTTGAACTTTTCTCGGGACATGCATCATGAATGTGATTCATTTTAAAACTGAAACATGGAACAAGGGTATTGATATTACGGTAATCTCGAACACGCTTGCCTGTCACTTTTCCTCGACCAATTCTGACCACTTCTGCGTCCTGATGCTTGAGAGGGAAAGCGCTGTGGGTTGTTTTCAAGCGATGTATGTGGGCTTTAATCTGTTAAAGATCGACTTGTCTCACTTTAAACTAAGCACAGTTTAGACATTGATGTGGGTTCACCATGACCCAGGAACATGCAGCCCTTCAGCTGAAGGAATGAGACAATAAAAAAAACAACAACATTCAACCGGAGAAGTTTCAGCACCATGGACAGCACCAGATGAGCAGCATAAAGTCATAGAACGTCGGAGCTCCAGCCTGCCCTGCCTCTTGCTGTCAGACAGCTAATCCATTTTGAAGACATCTTCGTAAAAAAAACAAAAAAAAAAGTTTAACTGTGAACAGGAAGTTAATAAAAAGTATAATTTGACCAGCCGCAAAGGCAAGTTGTGTCTATACAGTAGTGAACCTCCGTGCCACATTATGGATAGGCCTTTTATCTATAAGAGAGGCAGCTAATGGATGCAGCAGTCCACAGCACTTATCTCATCTATCCTCCCTCAGACGGGGCAGATAGTATCAGAGCAAACCACATCACGTGACGTAAACACGGACTTTAAAGGGTGAGGTTGAACGGTGTAAAATCTAATTTACTTTCCATTACACTTCTTGGTGTTGTTAGGCATCAGTTTTCTCAGCTTGATCCTACCATCCGTAGCGGAGTTCAAATCGTATGCAGTAGTGATACCTTAGAGGTTGTATTATCATTTGTGTATCTGGCGTCAATGTGGTAAAGAAAAGTGCAGCTAGAAGTAGGTTGAAGTTCTATGGGGTATATGTTAGAGGATATTCTCTATGGTTATTCGTCCAGTGACAAACACAAACTATGATGGGACTATCAGAAAACCTGCTTTTAATTGGAGGAATATAAATCGATATAACTCGGCAATCGCTCTGAAACAATGTCTTCCTGATATTTGGGACGCCTTCAGGTGACAGGGTAGGATCAGCTTGAGGCAATAACTACTCTGGGACATGCAGTCGAGGTAATAATGGCTTTTGCGGTGGAAATATACAAACTGTTATTAGACAATACCGTTAAGACACATATGGTGAGGCATATCATGTTCGTATAAATATCCTAATTCTGAAGTGTGAATCACGACTAAAACGGTCTCTAATGACGGTGGTGATTAACCCAAACATCAGCTTTTGTTATCACATATGCTGTCCTGATCAAACATTCAATTGGTCTTCCAGTGACGCAGTAAATATCCTGTTGATGCCAATGATAGATGAGTGAAAAGAAGACAACACAACTCATTTGAGTAACTATCTAAAGCTGTATACAAGTCAACTAAAGCACACTTACACCATGACTCAAACCAGAAAAGTAGTCAAATAATGCTCTCACTTCCATAACAGCAACTTTTTCAATAAAAGATGAAGATAGATGGATAATGTAACAAATTGTAGGCCTAAACATGTGCTCTGTGGCCTATAATGTTCCATATGGTTTGGATCAACCTCATCTTGAAACCACACAAACAGGAGAAAGGATATGTTACAAATCAGAAGGCCACATGAAGGTAGCCGGAAGGAGACTGCTTATTTTATTGTTTGAAAAATGCCTGTTGCTAGTTTGCCTGGTCTGTCAGAAATTCAGGAGATTGGAGAATCCCAGAAAACCGAAAATCTCAGTAACCAATTGAAACAATCGATAGTTGATACACCCGCACTGAACTCTCCCTTTGTCTTTGCTATTTGTCTTAATTGTTAGAAAACTGTTGTTCTCTGTTACTTCTACTGTGTCTTCAAACTGTATGCAGTTTTTTTTAATTACAGGCTATTTAAGACGCTTTGCTTGAGCACCTTGTCCAAAGATTACAGATACAAAATAGAATCCTTTAAGGACATTTTTAACAATGTGCATTAATTATTTTGCATGATCATAACTATATTGTTTATTATATACATTGCGCACTACCTCCACCCAAAACAGACAGGAGAAGTCTTTGTTTCATCTCGCTTCGTACTTTAAGTCGAAAGGTGGGCTTGGTGATCCGATCCCTCTTGGAGAGATCCAGCAGGCAGGCCTTAAAACCGGGACTTGGCCATCGATTTGGGGCCGCAATGAAGGTTAATGAGAACAGACATCTTGGTTCCTCTGCTTTTGAACCCCCCCCCCTGCAAAGAGATTCTTCATTTCTTTACGAGGTCACTGGTAGTAACCCGAGTAGGCCATAAATAGTGTCCATCCCAGACAGGCCCGGTGTCTGTCAATACTCAGAAAGTTCAGACACAACATCCGCAGAGCCGACAGGAGCGCGACTGCTGACATCAAACTTGTGAAGCAAAAAAGACTAACAAACATTGTCTTATTGTGACCCAATGGATATCTGTGAATAATGTGTTCTCACACTCACCACCATTAGGAAAAACTCAGTGAGGCACAATCCCACACAGCGCACCGAGTTGATCTGGCCTCATGTGTGGTGTTATACTGCCCCCGTGTGTTCATGATGCGTCACAGTTAACCTGAGTCATTTCTGAGGTCATTCAGATTTATTATGGTGACAGTAAAAACTGAACTGGTGACCTTTTGCGAAAGGCCCGCCCGCTCCTTCGACCTGAACTCACACAAAATAATGAAACCCACAGAAAAGAGCTGTCCGGTTTCAGCAAAAAAAAAAAAAAAACTGGCAACAGAGACTTCAGTTTGTCCCTCAAGGTCAGACTTCAAACGCTGATTGATTTAATAGAATGGGCAGCATAGAAAAGACAGCATGCTTCAGCATTTTTTTTAAATTATTTATTTCAAAATATTAGCCAACATCTGAATATAAAAATGGCCTTCAAGTCAAGCGTAGCTCTGACCAAAGAGGTCTGAGAGAGTTCGTCATGTTCATCGATAAATAAAACATCAAGCCAATGGAGTCAGATGAAAACGATGCTCTGATGCTTCAAAATACCATAGCCCTCTAAAATATGAAACTAACCTCACTTCAAAGGTAACAGACAATAGCAGCTCACTCATCATTTCATTATCCTGATAATGAATTTCCTTTCAAATAAAAAAGGAAAGTATGATAAAATTAGGCATCAGAATAAAAACGTATAACAACAAATACTTCAATTTAAATTAGACCTTATTACCAACGTCAGTAACAAGCAGGTTAACTTGAAATAAAATGTCAATCCAAATAACCCGCAACACAATCTTAATACTTAGTTAACAAAAGCAGTATTGTTTTCTTTCTCTTTTTTTTTTACATAAAACAACAAAGTGTTTAACTTATCGGACAAATACTTGAATATGAGTTCCAGAGTACTTAACATAGTATTACAGTATGTGCTCACGATCATTTACTAATACTGATAGAAAGAAAATCCCTCTCTGCAGCAAGAGTGTGTCGCTTCACTTCTGTTCCTTATCTTTTAGAGACATTAGTGCTTGTTGTAACCACAGCTTAAAAACACAAATGTAGGTGAATACTGCACCTCATATTAGCCCGGTGAACTCTGAGTGTGCTCTGAAGCTCGGGCATGATTGTCAACAGCTCTGAAGAGGAGCGCATCAAGGTGACTCTGATCAAATGTGACAAGATTTCGCATGTGAAGGGACACCGTAACAGCTGCTCATTAACTAACTTTGCCGGCGCGGAATGAAAAAGACGCAGCGGAGGTAAT